CTCAAGGCTGTAAAATATGCAGAGACGGCCCACTACAGAAGACTTGGCCACAGAAAAAGAAATAAGACAAGTTTAAGAGAACAAGAAGACACCTTCTCCTTTGATCCAAGCGGTAGTAACAGCGATGATATTCCAGAAAAGTGCAAGAACCAACCCTGTTGGACATGGACAAACACGAGCAAAGTTTTACCATCTTACAATTTTCTTACTTAACCTATACAGGTGAAGTGAATATAAGAGTGCATGGAGAAAGTTCTCACTCTCCAAGTAAGACTATAGTTACGTACCCAAGTATGTTGCAAATGCAATATACTGTAGCCTTTGGAGACGGATCGGAATCTCATTTGCAATGTCATGGTGGATAAGGGGGAAGAAGGGCGGCCAGTTTTTCACCTCGATAACAATTCCGGCTACAAAGAAAGGTAATATAAGAGAAAAATTCAGATGAATACAAAGGGAAGTAAAACTATGCTTTACATTTAGGAAAATGAATCAACCGATATAGACACATATCAGAGACTACAGTTTGACAAAAAAAAACCAAATCCTTTATGTAACAGCTTTGCAACGGGTGCTGAAAAAGAGGTAGTTTACACGTATAAATCGTAAAAGATATGTACCTTGTGCAGCAGCATCCTCTTTCCGTTTGAGATCCTACAACAGAAACAAAAGAAATCATCAATCGAAAACGGAAGATAACACACAAAAAAAAAAAAAAAACTTTCAAACTGGCCTATCCAGGAGGTGTAAATGTGAGATTCAAAGGGTGCTTCTTGAACTAAAAATATTACCTGCTCCCGTCGTTTTAGCTCGGCTTCTTTGGCTTGCAGCTCCTTCTCTTTCTTCTTCAAATCCTGAGTATTCCAACAATGAAACAACAAAACAAGTAAAAAGATCATTATACTTTAATTCAAATACCAACCTGATCACAAAAATGTATAACATCTACTCCATTTTCAATCAAACCTGTGTACCAGACCCCGGCCTGTCAAGAGGAATGTCAACAGTACGACCATAACCAAAACCAGCAGGTTCCGGAGGCAAAGGCGATAGTCTGGAATTCGAAGCAGCAGGAACACTCCCAGGATTCTAACATTGTAAACAAATCAACAATCATTACGCACCACCAATATGGTCTTCAGAATCAAAGAAGAGCACAAAGCCAGAAATCATTGTAGAGACCAAAAGCAAACAACCCTAAAGCAATCTACTAGCCAGAACAGAATCCATGAAAGTGTTGTTCAATAGTTCGAAGAAGCTAGGTTTTAAGGGAGATTACGCCGGAGTTTTCTTCACTGGTGAAATCAGAGAGAATAGAAAAGTGAAAAAGCTTACAGCAAAAGGATTGATTTCTTCTTCTCCGGCGAAAGGGTTCCGATCGTAGCGACCAGCCATGATTATAAAAGCTTAACTCGATTCACACAGATTAGAGGAAGAATTGAAATCGATCTGAGATCTTAAGAATGGTTGAAGAAACTTTGAAATTTTGGAATTTTTTTTTTACATTCAGCTTGGGATTATTATGGGAG